TTTTTAGGGGGGTTGGTTGTAACACCCCTGGTGTTACGAGCTTGTTTACCACCGCGATTTAGGCCAAAGAAAAATTTTCGAAACGAGTTTCTCAGAATTTTTTATTTAAAATGTACTTGATGCGATAAGCGAATCCCGTGTGACTTAGTTTTGTGGACTCAAATACACGCTCAAGTTAAATTACTCAATACGTAAAGATATTTAGGAATGTCGAACGACGATGCTAGCGAACGGTTTGTTCTGTTAGATTAAGCATGAAAAACAACTTTTATAAAAAAATAAAATCCATTAATACAAAAAACAATATATATATATACTCACGGGTTTATTTCGGTAAGCATGAACTGACGAGAGAGAGAGAGTGCAGCAGCTTTGTTTATTTTTCCTGGCGTACAACGTACTCGTTGCATGGCAATTATTCACTGTCTCGTTCTCGTCGTGGCTCTGCATTTCTCTACATTACAAAGCCTTCCATTCAATCGCATCTGAACTGGTCCACTACGCTGGGCGTCTGAAATTGGTGCACGTGGTTCTGCCCCTGCCCACGTCGTGTCCTCTCTCTGCCGTGCACCGCCGAATAACCACTGCCCCCATTGTCCCATCGAACTAATAACCTTGTCGTGCTGCCTCTGCTTGCCAGCCACGGCTTGTCTCTGTCTACCTCGGCTTTATCCGTGCGCTGCCCGTGCGTTCACCATCCACATCTCTGTCTGTCTCTGCCTCTGTTTGTCCTTACTTGTCTTGTTGGCCTATGCATAGCCGCTGCTCGCTCTGTCCCCTTGCCTCTTTCTTTTTCTTTACCGCAGCACCCGCTAGGACAAGCACCCTCAGTGGCCGGCCACCGTGCGCGTAAGCCTCAGCGATGCCTCCGCTGCTCCACAGCGCGTCCGTCACCGCCTTCCCCTTCCACGCCCTCGTCAGCCGTGGTCCACGCCCGGCATCGTCGGTCTCCCTACGAGCGCGCGCCCCTCGGTCCCTATGCTGGGCTGCAGCTCGCAGCGCTGCGGCTACCCTGCCCCACTCAGCACCCGCGCCGCTCCACCGCAGACGCTGTGCCCCACGCCCGCCCGTAGCGCTGCCGTGGCCGCGCTCCCGTCGCCGGCCACCGCAAACGCGAGCGTGCACGAACCTCCACGGTGCTCCACCTCCTGCACGGCCTCCCCTCTCTCTCTCGCTCTGCTGCTAGCACGCATCCGCCATGGGCTATCTCGGGGCTGAGTTCAAGCGCTGCCGTCCTAACTGCTGCTCTCGCCCCGCTCTCTGCTTTCCTACGCCACACGCAAGCCATTGCCGGTCCTCCCCACGCGAGCCCCCACGGCGGCTCTAGACAGCTGCCGTGCCCGTGTGCCTGCAACGCCGCCCCTCCTTTCTCCTTCCCGCTGCCTCGCGTGAGTACCCGCCCACGACCGTGACCTGGCCAGTGTCAACGCCTCGTCGAGCCGCCTTCTTCCTCCTTGTTCTAGAGCCGCGATTCGCGCCCTCCAATGCGCCCTGCCATGGCTGTGTTCGCCAGTGCCGAGGCGCTGCCCTGCTGTACAAACGCGGGGGGTCACGCGCCACCGCGCCGCGCCCCTCGTCCGCCGTCGTCATGCTGCGCAGCTCCGCCTGCCCTGGTGCATAACCCCTAGTTTTTTGCAGTTTAAATTATATTTGTGCATTAAGTTTTAAGGAGTTGGTTGAAACCCACTTGCATAGATATCTTTATCCTATGAGTCTTACTAGTATGACATGATCGTGTAGATTGCTATGCTACAGGACTCCGGTAGAAGTCGAGTGATTGCCTGTCACTCGCGAGATATAGGAAATATATGAATGTATTATTATCACTTGGAAAATATAAATGGTGGAAAGGAAAAATGATGACTGGGCAGGGATATGGTTTGGATATTGGTGGGTGTAAGAGGTTGTGTCGCCGCGGATACGAGGCATAGCTTGGTTACACTGCTTTCCCTGTCTATGTCGGTTAAGGACCGGCCGTTGCATAAGACGCTAGGCAAGTCACAGATTTATTATCCCGAGCACATACTTGTGTATGGGTGCTTGGAAGACTTGTTGCTCTCTTGTCCTGGATCCGGCTCTTTCCAGACCGACTATCAGGGTGGTTTTTGGGTTAGGAGGTCCTTGCACCACACTGAGTAAGGGACTCAGGGGCGGGGGCTTGGAGTACCAGTTTGGACGGGGACCTGGACACCCAGGACAGGAGGGTGATGGGTTGGTCCTGCTTGTGCCTAGGGTACAAGCGGGGCGTATGTTTTCGGGGTACCCAGCTGGGGACATTGATTCGCGAATCGCCGCCGAGTCGGTATGACTTGTCTTACCTCTAGCACCGTAGTAAGAATTGAAAGATGGAAGATGGAAGATGGAAAAAGGAAATCTGATTGCTTACCACCTGCTTGAAAGTAGCACATGTGCTTACATAGAATGGTTAGTTAATGAACCAATGTGGCTATTAATAAAAATCCAATCTAAGGACTCATGCTTTGTAATGCTTCCTGCAGATGTAATAAACCCGCAAGCCAGATAGCCTTGCATATCCTTGGAGTCTTTTCTTTCCTCCTGTCGGGTAAGTCTTGCTGAGTACAATTGAGTACTCAGGGGTTTTATTTCCCCTTATTGCAGGTAACAGGTGAATGCTAAAGCTGACTCTTGTGTGTGGATTCCTCCTGGTGGGCTCAGCGAGGATTCCTTTACGCTGTGATCATAGTTTTTATTAATAACTCTCACTAAATGTTTTTATAAATGAAAGTTTTATAATCTGTTGTCATAGTTTATATATCAACGTTTCATCATGTCATGAATAGATAATTATTTCCGCTGTAATTCTGATCACATGTATATATTTCGCTGTTCAATTAAATTGTTCATAACTCTGATAATATGATTACATTCCGCTGTTATAACAATAAATATTATACTCTGATGTTGTATTAAAAGTGATGTAAGAAATGGTTAAGAATGATGTAAGCTTTATTCTCTCATTTGTGATCCTGATGGAAAAATATGGATTTTTGGGTTCTCCCTTAGGGTGTGACCTACAGAACTGTGTAATTTGGTGTTCTCCCTTGAGTACTTAATGTCTAATGGAAGACATGTACTCCTGGGAGGCATTAGATTAGGCAGTTCTGCCACACTGTCCTCGTTGTCGAATGTTGGCTGGACGTCACCAGGATGGTTGTCGGCCATGTCCATGGTCGTCACCGAAACATGGCCTGGTTCCGAAGCGGAGCGATGGTCGAGGGGCGGACCTTGGATTGCCACTTCAACCAGCATTGGATCCAGCATCGTGTCTGCCGTTGCCAGCTGCCTCGGCCGACTCAACAGCATCAAGTCTGCCCCGTCCTCAGGTCCAGCTCTCTTGCACGACGAGCTAGAGTGGCCGTCCTGCTGACGCTCGCATTCAGAGGGGTCCCCGAGCCAAGCACAGACCCTGGTCGTACCCTCAAACACATGGAACTTCGAGGAAAGGTGTGACAAGAACAAGGGAGAGGTCTGCACTAGACGCGGCGAGCTCCAAGTTCCTCGGGACGACGAAGACCTCGACCTTGGGACGGCTATCAGCGTCACCCAGAGGTGGTGATAGCGGCAGCCTGCTGCCATGCAGCTGCTGTGGCGACGATGGCCATGATGGCGGTGTGGTCGACTGTTGCGCACAACGAGGCGATGACGGTGTTAGCGCCAAGCTTGGCACGACACGACATCTCGGTGACAAGCTGGGTCACCTTGGACCGGCCGAGCGACGTGCCTTACTGCGGCCGAGCCCGGCCTCTGAGGACGAAGGCTTGCAAGGCGACGAAGGGCCTTGGTAGCACGCTGGCGAACGACCACACTCGCACGCCCTGGCCTGATGGTCGGTACCCCGGCAGCACAGGCAGCGGGACGGGGAGCGACACCGAGCGACGATGTGGTCATGTGCGAGGCAGTTGAAGCAGAGACCTAGAAGCTCCATCGGGACGGGTCGGTGGCGTTTTAGGTGCTGTTCTCCTCGGACATCGCCGGTGACGACGATCCCTACGTCGCGGTCCGAGGCGCTGGTGCACCAGGACTCTTGCTGCCGGCAGCAGACCCAGGCAACGCTGCATGGGTACTGACGCGGCGTGCAACGGTGGAGTCCCACAGCGGAGTCCGTCGGGCGCACTGGTTCTGTGCCGATGATGCCGTTTCGCACTTACAGGCACCGGATGGGTTTCCTCCACGGCGGCTGCGCTCTGCGCTGCGTCCGAAGCCCAAGCCGACGGTGGAGGCATGTCCCGGAGAGCCTTGCGAGCGGCGTCCAGGTATAGCATGCGCGTGGCAGAAGACGCGAGTTCGTCGTCGGAGCTGCCCGTGCCGGGGTCTTCCTCCCAATGCCAAAACTTATTCCTGGTTGATCTCACGGAGGCTGATTGAGCTCACGGAGGCGCCCCAACTCCGTATCCGGTGGTGGTGGTGTCGGAGGCGGCCGTGACGGCGCCCTAGCGCTGGATTTGGCAGGGCCAGGCTCAGCCGCGGCGCACGGTCGGGAGAGCTGCGGCGGCGGCTCCCTAGGGGAGGCGCATCCCGCGGAGCCGAAGGCAGCGGGAGGGGCTGGATGTGCGGGATGGGAGGCTATAGGGAGGGGAAGGCTCGATTGGTCTATGAAACCCCACTAGGCAAGTGGATTCTTCATCAGCGGGGAGGAGGAGGGGAGATGAAGGGAGGGGCCGCCGGCGGGTTGGGGGCGGCAGTCAGGGGCGCCCCTAGGGTTTCATCGCTCTTTTCTCTAACTCAAAGAGGGTGTCATTCAGTTTTGGATTGATTTGTACGGGTGGTTTGTGAAGATGACCATCAATTACATCCCTTTACACTAGAAAATAATTTGAGTACTAGTGAAGTCTATATGGACTCCTCTAGGCATCTGTGACGCTGGAAGCCTTCCCTCCCTCCCTATAAGAAGACCTCCAGCCTCTTACAGTCGTCAGTACCCAGACCCAGTAGGAACGAAAAAATAGCACTGTTGCCCGTTCTTGCCAGGAGAAACAAAGATGAGGAGGCCTCAGGTGATACTCGTCGTCACTCTGGCTGTTCTCGGCGTCCTCGCAGCTCTGCCGCTCGGCGAAGGTGACGACGAGAATCCTTTCGCCGTTTAGTTTTATTTTCATCAGGATATATACACATCACTTGTTATAGGATGCATGCATGCACACTACTACTAGACATTTTGACTAAACATGCGTCGGCACACCAGGCTCGTGGCCGTGCTGCGACGACTGCGGTATTTGCAACAGGATGATGCCGCCGAAGTGCCGGTGCAATGACATTTCGGCGCATGGGTGCCACCCGGAGTGCAAGAAGTGCGTCAGGAACACGCTCACCGCCGACGACGATGGCCCCGGCAGCACCGTCCGCGCCTACCGCTGCGCGGACATGCTCACAAACTTCTGCGAGCTCCGCTGCACGACGGCACCGGCTGCGGCGTTCCTGGGTGAGGTCTTCTGATGGCATCGATGGGACGCCGTCGATCTGCTGCAAGCGGGCATGCCATGCCAAGTCGAGTTTGCTTCTCTCGAGCTTCGTCGGAGAAGAATTCGAAATAAATAAATGTCGCCGCTCAATCGGCTTCATGCTTGGTCTTGCTCGTCGTCAGTGTTCTAGTGTTTACCGAATAATCAGCCATATGCATGCATGATGCATGCTAGCACTGTGCTGGTTTTCGTTTACCAGCTATAGCTCGTGAGGTCCTTTGATTTTTGTTCCCTTTGCAGCCGTTATCGTGTCGAGTCAAGACAATATCTTGGTTACCTTGTTGTATTGCCCACAACTTCTTGCGATGCCTTGCCAGGCAGGCTCACAGTAATTCTCATCTGCCAAATGCCAAAACATTTCTGTGATGTCCGGACGCACCAGATGCTGCACATCATTCTTGCCGACAGAGATCACAGACGGGGAGGTCACGGGGCGTCTGAACACGGGTCCTTGGGCAGAGAGCCACCCACATGCAGCCCTGCCCCGTTCGGCTTACCCTCCCGCTTGTACGGTTTTTTTTTACCACAACGGTGTTTTTCTCTCGTAATATTTTCAGCCAGAATAGTATTTTTCTCTCATAATATCACATGTGATATCACATATCACATATGAAGATGTTCTGATTTGTAAGCATCGTACATGATAACGTACACCAAACATTCTCAAATTTTTATCATAGCCTCCACATACGATATCACGACATCTTAACAAGTTTCATAATTTTCGGACTTTGTTTGCATTTATAGAATTTAAAAACACTTCGCACGCAAGTTCGCGGTCATGTTTCGTGAACAAGATGTCCACAATTTCAGATCCGTTCCTGGATACGGCCTCACACTACACTCAGTAACATGACTATCATTTTTTGAATCATTAAATTTCATACCACGTGCAATTCAAATTTATATTTTTCGAAAAAACTCAAGTAAACGAAATAAAGTAACTAAATATATCAAAAAGCCACAAAAAATCCCCAAATTCTAACTAGGAGTTCCTGATACCTTAAAAGGGCTGCACAAAAATTTGGAGGCCAAAAAAAATTCTTTGCCGAGTGCCGGGGCATGACACTCGGCAAATGGGGTCTTTGCCGAGTGCCAAAAATAAGGCACTCGGCAAAGAGGGTATTGAATTTTTTTTTAAAAATTCCTCTTTGCCGAGTGCCTGCACAGGGGCACTCGGCAAAGACATTTCAAAAAAAAATCTTTGCCGAGCGCCGTGTCAGGGGCACTCGGCAAAGTATTTTTCAAAAAAAAATCTTTGCCGAGTGCCAGATCTGGGACACTCGGCAAAGAAATTTTTTAAAAAAAAACCCTTTGCCGAGTGCCAGATCGGGGGCACTCGGTAAAGGGGGGATTTAACCCCTGGGCCGGCCACGCACCCCGCACACACGCACACACTTTCACATGCCACCGCCCGCTCGCCCGCGCCGCCACCTCCCGCTCGCGCGCCCGCGCCGCCCAGCCGCCCGCGCCCTGCCCCCGGCCACCGGCCCTACCCCCGGCCGCGCTGGCCCTGCCCTCAGCCGCGCCCTGCTTCGGCCGCGCCCCGTGGACCGCCCGCACCAACGCCGCCCGTGCCCAACCCCGTTCCCGACTCTGGCGACCCAGACCACGACCCCGACGCCGCTCGCCCCTACCCCCGGCGCTCGTCAGGTATGCCGTCTCTCTTGTTGTTGTCGTGGTAGTGATAGTTGTAGTAGTATTAGTTGTACTAGTAGTGCTAGTGCTAGTAGTAGTATTAGTATTAGAAGTAGTGGTAGTAGTAGTACAACTAGTGGTAGTAGTAGTACAACTAGTGGTAGTAGTAGTAGAATTAGTGGTAGTAGTAGTAGAAGTAGTGGTAGTAGTAGTAGTAGTAGAACTAGTGGTAGTAGTTGTAGCAATAGTGGTAGTAGTAGTAGTAGAACTAGTGGTAGTAGTAGTAGCAATAGTGGAAGTAGTAGTAGAAGTAGTGGTACTACTTGGATATATTCTTCTGCATGGATTGATATCCAAACTACATGGCTTCTCTTGAGACATATGTGCTTGTCGGCCATCGTGCCGTTGTTTTTTGCAGGTTTTGGAAACCTCACCGTGCAGGGGAGGTTCTGCCGAATTTTTTTTAAATGACAGTATTTTGTTCTATTTTTGTAGAGAAGAGCCCGTCAGAGCCGAGTCGGAGTTCCCGTCGCCGTGCCGGTCGGCCTACACCGCGTCGCCTCGCCACTGCACCGACCCGCCACGGCCCTGCTAGCCTGACTCCGCCGCCACCCTAGGTATAACCCCTCTTTCCGTATCATGGTCGTAGATCACGTAACCCAGTTAGGCGTCTCCCGTTCAAAAACGATACGGTTGGAGGTATGCAGATCTTTGCATATCTATGACCGTATCTATTTCGGATTGTCCACGTTTTTTGGACAGTCCACGGATGCGTAGATGGGTTAGTTTCCATGGTCTGCTCCGGTCCGAGACAGAGTTTCGGCATCACCTCCCTGTTGTTCTCTCGGATACGCACTCTTCTTTGGCGGGGCGTGTATCTAGAGAACAACGGGAGGTCTTGCCAAATTCTATCTCGGATAGGAGTAAGCATGGAAACTAACCTCATCTACGCATCCGTGGTGGGATTAGGACCTATCCTCACCTATTAGAGCGGTAGGAACACCATGTAGATGCAATTGATGGTTACATTACTCGGCCGATACATATGTTAGAGGATGGATGACCGTCGATTGCATGTACACGAAATTTGGAGAAGTCGGAGTGATTACACCACGGAATGGATGAACAAGACCGATGCTTTCTTGAATAGTGTATTTGGCAAGACTGCTAAAGGACATTGCCTAGTTTTGTGTCCCTGCAGCAAATGTGGAAACAGGAGAAGGGTAAACAAGGTGGAAATGGGTAAACATCTTGTGAAGAATGGATTCACGCTGGACTACACTCGGTGGGTCCACCATGGTGAAGCCCATCGTATGAGAGAGGAGGTGGTGAGACCACAGGTGGAGGCTTTTGATGCTGATGCCGGGGTAGCAGACATGTTAGATGACTTTCACCAAGGATAGTTCGATGAGGGACGTGAGAAGGAGGAGATGGAGGCAGCCGCACAGGCGTTCTACGACATGATGGACTCAGCACAGAAACCCCTTCACGATCAGTCAACGGTGTCTCAACTGGATGCCATTGGATGCTTAATGGGGTTGAAGTCCGAGTTAAACTTGAATCGGCCTGGCTTTGATAAGATGTTGGCCGTGATTGGCACCCTGCTTCCGGAGGGCCACATTCTACCAAAGAGCATGTACGAGTCACAGAAACTCCTTCGTGCACTTAAGATACCGTATGAGCAGATACATGCTTGTCCGAAGGGGTGCGTAGTATTTAGGAAAGAACACGAGCATGCAAAGTTCTATCCAAAGTGTAATTCCTCCAGGTATCTGGAGGTAGACTCTGATGATGCCCAGAAGAGGCAACTTATGATCCCAGTGAAAATCCTACGGTACCTTCTATTCCTACCGAGGATCCAACGGCTATACATGACCGAGGAATACGCGAAACAGATGACATGGCACAAAAATAGCAAACGGTACAATCCTGATAAGATGGTACATCCATCCGATGGTGAGGCTTGGATCCGCTTTAATAACAAACATCGTGACAAAGCAGATGAGGCTCGTAATGTACGTGTCACGCTGGCAACAGATAGGTTCAATCCTTATGGAATGATGGCTGCCCCATACACATGTTGGCCCATCTTCGTTATCCCCCTTAATCTCCCCCCCGGTGTCTCCTTTCAACGACATAACGTATTCTTGTCGTTGATAATTTCTGGACACCCAGAGAGTAATATGGGTGTGTTCATGGAGCCCGTGTTTGATGAATTGGTCCGTGCTTGGGACGAAGGGTTATGGACATACGATCGAGATACAAAGACAACCTTCAAAATGCACGTTTGGTACCACTACTCCCTGCATGACTTCCTGGCGTATGGGATATTACGCGCTGGTGTGTTCATGGGAAGTTCCCATGCCCAATATGCAAGGAAGGTGTGAGGTTCATTTGGTTGCAGAAGGGTGGCAAGTATTCGTCATTCGACATACATCGTCAATTCCTACCTCTTGACCATCCATTCAGACAAGACATCAAGAACTTTACGAATGGTGTCAAAGTGACAAACCCTACACCGCGGATGATGACTGGTGCCGAGGTTCATGCTCAGATAGATGCTCTCGTGCCCAATGAAGAAGGTGGTTTTGTGGGATATGGTGAGCAACAATGTGGACTCATATCTCGGGCATGACGAGTGTCCCCTATTTCGATGGCCTTCTGCTGCCACATAACATTGATGTAATGCACACTGAAAAGAATGTCGCCGAGGCACTTTGGGCAACACTCATGGACACTAAAAAGTCTAAGGACAACCCTAAGGCTAGAGTGGACCTGGCAACGTTGTGCGATAGACCAAATCAAGAGATGCAGCCTCCTAGTCGTGGCAAGACCTAGAGAAGGCCTAAGGCCGATTTCGTCTTAAAAAAGGACCAAAGGAGTTAAGTACTTGAATGGATCAAGACACTAATGTTACCAGATGGGTATGCAGCGAATCTAAAGAGGGGAGTGAACTTA